TATAAAGCTGCAATAATTCGAATTGACAGTCCTGGAGGTGATGCTCTTGCTTCAGATCTGTAAGTGTATCCTATTCTTACATACAGTATATTTGAATGCATGGTTATATTTTAATTCACTTTTTTTTTCTTTTGTTACTCTTGGATTCTTAATTACCCATATGTATCACACTAGAAGCCAGCTATGTTAATCAGCATCTTCTTTTCACTGTACATAACCGTGTCGGACATGCCATGTCTGAGCAACGTAGGAAACCAGGGTTAGGTCATCATAATTTCTAGTGAATGTATGCATAGTTGGCCTCTTGGAAAATCTTTTGCTGTATAATGTACTGTGATGCCAGATGAAGTGATGAATATTTCTTAGCTTATCACCTAGGAAGTTGGCATCATGCTGTTTTTTTCATTTTATTTTTATTTTTTGGGTGTAAAGAGAGCCACAAGGGAAAATGACATTCAACATTTATTGTTTTAACACACAAATCAAGTTGGTAGATTGAAGACACAGGCACGCTTTATATGGTTCCTTAAAATGTTGGAAAAAAAACAGTTAGAGGTTGAATTTTTTTCATTGAACGACAATATGAAATTATCTAAATAGTTGAAAAAACATGCAAGTTTCTATTTAGATGGAACTCATGGAAGGAGTTCCACAATGACAATATGTAAAGTTTAAAGTATAATCTAAAAAATGGATACCAAAACTATTAAAATTCTGAAGTTGAAGAGGATGATTTGGTTTGTCAATTCATTTCTAGATAGTGGTGAAGTGTGATGTAACAGATGCGACATACTGCTTTGACACTGCAGACTTTAACAATATTATGACCTTAATCATGAATAAATTTTCATATGAAAAAAGGCCCAGAAAATAATATATATTAATATGATCACAGTTTTACGTGGCATTAATGGATAATCACTTGTCAAATATGTTCAGGATGTGGCGGGAGATAAGACTTTTGGCTGCCGAAAAACCTGTTATTGCATCAATGGGTGATGTTGCAGCTAGTGGGGGATATTACATGGCGATGGGAGCAGTGACTATAGTTGCAGAAAATCTTACTTTGACTGGTTCAATTGGAGTTGTCACAGGTTAGACTTTTGTATCACTTGTCCCATCAATAGGCTTCAGTAAATGACTCCTGTATCACGTGTCTCATCAGTAGTTGATAGTTCAATACTCAGTTAATCCTTTATGCACTGGGGATCACCGCAAGTTACTCCCTTCAACACTGTACTTGTTGCAGCTGATTTTTTAGTGATATATTTGAAATAGGAGGAAGCAATTCCTTAGTGGCCTGACATAGTATGTGGAGTAGTCCTAAATAGTAAATGATGCATTGTAAGTTGCATAGAATTGGTACAGAATTATTGGGAGTTAGGAGGTTGATGACCATCACATTGTATAATTGTACAGCTGACTTGACCTTTCTTTTCTTCTGGTATTGACCTTCTTCTTCTTGCTTCACAAAGAAAGGGCATAATCTTTACTTTCTTGGAAAGGTGGGTCTCATGGATCTGAACCAGAGTACTCTATGCCAAAATGGGATAATTTACAACACCAAGTCTCACCCTTTGATTTCTTCTTTTGCCTTTGCTAATAATATATAGATTCCAGATTCAATCATGGCTTTAAATCTCGGATGCGGTTGCGATTGTGGTAACGGTCACGTAACCACTTTCACAGGCAATGCGGCTATTGCGGCCTAATATTTCGGTTTTGGCAAGCTCAAAATCCTTCACAATGCAGCTGAGACTTAATGTCATGGATCCAATATATAAGCTTTGCAACATTTCTATCATCTAATATTGTGCATAATTTTAGCTGAAAAGGCTATAATGATTAATAACCATTAGGCAATTCATTGGTTGTTTCAAATATATAAAAAAAAAGGAAAAAATTTGGCAATTCATTGGTTAGGCTTGTGAGTGATAAATTTATGTTTTGCTTTAACTTCTTCATGCTTATACTTCTCTTTTCTGAAGAATGAGTTTTGAACTGTATCTATTTGCTCCTGAACAAAACAAAAATAAAATAAATGCAATGAATTATTTATTATTATTATTATTATTATTATTATTATTATTATTATTATTATTATTATTTATTTTTTATTTTTTTGTTGTTGTTTCACAGCAGTGAACATATCTTATGGATCAAATCAAATGTTCATGTGATGCTTGAGCTGATAGATGCTAGAATCTATAGCACACTTAGATAATTACTCAATGTGTCCTTAGCTGTAACATGAAATGCACCTAATAATGTAGTTTTGTTTGATAGGGAAGTTCAATTTGGGAAAGCTGTATGAAAAGATTGGATTCAATAAGGAGATCATATCAAGGGGAAAGTTTGCTGAGCTCACTGCGGCAGAGCAGCGATCTTTCAGGTGAAAGTTCTTGTCTTGCATGCTTGGGCAAGGTTTCCTAAAATGAACTACGTCTACAGATCACTAGGAAGTAGGAACTAGCATGTACTTTGTGCTCTACATCATGCTACAAAAGTACTCGCTAGAATAATGACAGATTTTATTTTACATCTGATATGATCATTTACAACTTTACAAGATATATGTTTTGCATATAAGTGCTTGCAGATAATTCCATGATAAAATACATTATTTATACTTCGGGGCATATTATCTGATGAATGACAAGGTTTTGTAAAAATTCCCGAAAAAAAAAAAAAAAACACTCTTGGCAATAGAAGTCAATAACTTTGACAATTAATCTTCAGATTGTTGGGTTCTCAAAAATTCAAAAGTGAATTTTTGCTATGTTAAGGGTAAATTAATTTTAGATCTTCCCTCATTTAGCATCAAAGAGCAAACTTTCACTGATAGCTACAATCTTAGTAACATTTGATTTGTTTCTCATTCTAAATGCAAATTTGTTATAGGCCGGAAGAAGCAGAGCTTTTTGCAAAGTCTGCCCAGCATGCTTATACACAATTTCGAGATAAAGCAGCCTATTCAAGATCAATGCCTGTAATTTTTCTATTACTAACCTTTTATTTTATTTTATTTTTATTTTAACATGAATTATTTGAATTTTACACTATCAATACAGATTATTGATTGATTTATTTCATTTATGTATAGGTAGATAAGATGGAAGAAAATGCACAAGGAAGAGTCTGGACCGGAAGTGATGCTGCTTCTCGAGGACTTGTTGATGCTTTAGGTGGAATGGGCCGTGCAGTTGCCATAGCAAAGCAAAAGGCTAACATTCCCCAAGAGCAACCGGTATTTCCTTTCTATTTTATGGCTCATACCTCTCTAATGTTTGGTGTTAATTTTACTCCCAACTCTTTCTTTCTATTGTGCTGTGGCACTTTTCTGCCTTTTGCATTCAAAATTTCTTTCATAGTTCTTAATTATTGCCATCTCTGTTAATTCTCACTCGTGTGATAGGTATGCTTTGTTGATGCCTTGTTGAGATAATGCCCATGTATTATTGAATAACACTGCATTTATTGAAATACCACATCTTTATGGACCATGGCTACAATAGTACAATGTCTTGAATTGCAATAGTAGGTGGCTAGTGCCCAAGTTAAATGTCACTCAAATTTGAGGAAGACATTTTTGTCAAAGATGTGGCCGTACTCTAGGGAAGTAAGGCTTGTAAGCTTGGCAGACCACCAGTCCTATTTGTAGGTCAACCACAACCAAATGATAATGTGCTTCCAAATACCAATTACTCCGTCTCTAAAAGTTCTTCATGATGACACTTTTTGTGAACTCTTTATTCTGTGCCCGTCTCATTGTTTATGCTGATAATGATGCAGGTGACACTGGTTGAAGTGTCAAGACCATCCCCTTCGTTGCCAGAGATTTTGAGTGGCATAGGGGGTACTATTGTTGGGGTGGACAGAACTCTAAAAATACTACTTGAAGAGTTGACATCTATGGAGGGAATCCAGGCAAGAATGGATGGGATCATCTTTGAGAAACTGGGCGAAGCATCGAATGCAAATCCTATCATAAATATACTGAAGGACTATTTAGGCTCTCTTTGAAGGTAAAGACCTCATATTAAAACTCAATCCCGACTGAGCTCTAGGATCAGCCATCTCTTCTTTAGACCAAAGTGTTACATGAAATCATTTACATTAAAAAATTAAAAGAAAAAAAAGAAAGTGTAAAGCTACCTGCCATAACAATCCAATTATAGATACACCACAGCTTCTGAAAATTGCACTTGTGATAGAAATTTTTACTGGAACTTGCTTGTATTGTATTATAGCAAGAGGGTAATACGATATTTTTCACTGTGTTGCATTCTTTTACCGCGATTGTCATCTGACTTGTACTGCTGTGTTCATTAATCATATTGTACTTCTATCTGTTTATGGAGCATGTGTATGTTATGGGAAAAATTAGAACCCTAAGACCATGTAAATCATACGATTGCCGATTGGATCTAAGTTGTATCTCACATGAATAGCTTCTTTATTCTCTTAAGGTTTACATTTGCAATTCTCGTAAATTTACATTGATTCCTATTCAAGCATATATACAGTTAAAAACTTTAAATTATCATAAAATTATAGATGTGACTGTCTTCAAGAGTTCATATTTATCTACATGTATATAAACATATAATAGTAGTAATTTTTTTAATTTATGTATTTTTAAAAATAAAATGTTTATACTTATAGGTAGGTAGATAGATAGTCTTTCTTTGAATGGTATATCCTTGAATGTTTCCAATACATCAAAATTCAAAAGCATTATACTCCGTTGCATATAAGGCTGACGTTCTACGTGTCTAAGAGCAACTCGCCAACTCTAATAGCGAGCTAATTGTCAAATTCTTGCCGTTCTATATAAGCTTTTAAAGTTTTTAGATAATTATCTTTCTAGTTAGATTGATCCTCAATGGTAATATTCAAGTACGAGTACAAAATAAAACTGAGACGGAGTACGCAGAAGGGAAAAATAAACAAACACCTTTCATATACACCCGGAATCAATGTATAATAAACTTCAGTCCTCAAAATTGACAATCTTGTACTGTTCTGAATTCATCAGTCCAAATCTTCCCTTGGCTTCGTTTGTGCAATACTAAGTTTTCCACATAAACTTCAGAAGATTTACTGTTATGATCAGTATAATTTTCCAAATGTTGTATCTGATGAGTTCTAAAATTATATGAATACACTTTACCCTTTTTAAGTACCAAAAATGTATTCTTCTCAGCATTGAAAATCTCCATAAAAAAACTTCTTGTAAGAAACTGATCAGCCTCTAAATTTGTATCTCCGGTATACCACAATCGCCATGATCTATCTCCGCCATCCTTGACCAAAACCCATATGCAGATTCGCATTGAACATACACTAAAAGCTGCAATTGACTCACCGAGGGTGAACAGAAATTTAAGGCTATCTTTTTGTTTAAGAGCATCAGGGAAATCCGTAATGCTAAATTCCTCGGAATCAAAATCGAACGATACAAGATGAATCCTTGATACGGGTGGTTTAGAATAATCCTGATCAAATCCTAACCAGTGGGTAGCACTCTTGGAATAATAAGTACACCCATATCTTCGAATGTGAGCTTCATCAAATAACCCATCTTTGATCCTCCAAAGGCGATCATTTAATGAATAAACTGCAATCGAAACCTCGGAATTCCATCGACACCCAAAAGCAACTATCTTATGATCATTAGTAGACGAAGCAAAACCGGGGTAATAAAGTATGGTATATCCCATCGAAATAAAAGGACAAGGTGGAATTACCAACGATTTTCGAATACAAGGATTGTAAAATACGAACTCATCTTCAGTTTCTTGTAACAAAATCAGTCCAAAACAATTGTTGTATGAATTGCAATGATCCTTTTGAGTGCTGAAAACTTTATCAATTTTCTTGAATGCGTCGATACTATAAAGGGTAAATTCAGTCTCCTTTTTGGCTATCAAAGACTTGCGTTTCTTGTTGTAAATGTGAAGATGAGTAACAATGAAATCCGAGGAATCAATCAATGAACACCAGCTTTTACAAACACATCTGAATCTCATTAGGCTTTTCGCCGGCAGCCTTGCTAAGATCTCCGTCCACAAATCCATCGCTAAATCCACTAATGCTTCCGCCATTGATTAAGAATTTGAAGGTGATAAATTGAATCAAAGGGTTTTGTGTTGTGTACAAGTGTATAACCTACAGTTAATATACAGTGTACCAATATATAGAGAGAGCTTTATGTTAAACTAACACGTTCTGAAACCCTAATTATAGTAGTATTAGGTTTCTTGTTTAGAGTTATACTCTTATATCAAAATTACTATGTTATATCAAAATTATACCTATACTCTTATATTCTTATTACTTGAAGAAAAACAGGTCAATCATGATAGTTATATACTCCCTCCGTTTTTAAATTCTTACTCAATTTCTTCATGCGCGGAGTATTAGGAGAAATTAGAGTAAGTAATAAAATATTGAAGTAGTGGGTTAGGTGGAAGAATTAAAAAATTATAAAAATCTAAAGTAGTGAAGAAAATTAGAGGAGAGAGAATATGAAATTAATAAAATATGATTTATATTGAATTCACTAGGTCAGAGAAATCAATTAAATATTGTAATTTTTTTTTCTTGTCAAAAAAAAAATAAGGAAATGGAGCAAGTATTTAAAAACGGCGGAAAGAGGAAAGTGGAGCAAGTATTTAAAAACGGAGGGAGTAATATTTCAATCGATAACTACAAAATTTTCATTATTTATTGGAATCAACACATTCAACTTGTCATATAGCTCGCCTTTCAAAGAAATTTTTTTTGCCAAATAGCTCATACAGAGTACTTAGTTATTTATGAGAGAAAAAAAAAATTAGACACTGAACTGAATTTAAGTTGAACCGAACAAGTTCTGTCTCGCAAGAACGGAATTATCCTATACCAAATATTGAAATACTCAGTATAAATATAACTTTAAAAGCAGGCAAAGCATATGTTAAAAATGGCCTTATCATTCTCATCATCACCATTTTCCTTAAACTTAGACACCTTCAACCACACCTAAAAAAATTACAATCTTAGTAATAAACCAGTTTCTCGTTATATATATATATATATAAAAATAAAAATAAAATAAAAAAAAAAGAAAGAAAAGAAAAAGAGGTTACATATCTTTAAACACGGGTTCCTGAGCTTGAGTAACATAGGCTACATGGTCTTACTTAGAACGTAACATCTTACGCAAATTAAAATAGAATTTTTTTACAAATAGATTAATCCAAAATCCAAATTGTTTCATTACCAAAAGAATATGTAAACAACATTTTTATGATCGAAATCTAGTCACAGAGCAAAGTATCAAATGACTATACATGTAACAAGCTAGAATTTGTCAAAAAAAAAAAAAAAAAAAAAAAAAAAAAAAAAAAAAAAAAAAAAGAAGAAGGTAGTAACAGAAATTAAAGCTACAACCTACAAAGAATCATATGAACTAGTTCTTTTAGTTTCCAACATTCCACGAAACATCAACGCCGATGATATAAACATGACTAGGATGCAATGCTCCAATTCTTCTTGTATCCTTCACAATAGGCTTAGGAATCGATCCACCACCATCTACGATCTTTTTCTCCATCTACAAAATAAACACCACATTAATTAAGCTCGTAGTTGTTACATCGTCCCAACCAATTTTATATAAGCACACGTAATATTAAACATAATTAATCGAAAGAACCCTTCATAGATATAACTGTTCTCTCATATATATGATCACTTGATTTACATAATAAACTCATACATGTAACGATTTTTTTTCGAACATCCATCAATAAATTATGCAACTACCCATAATAATAATCATTGAATAATTTTTTTTTTTGATGCAATAATAATCATTGAATAATGACTTGATCACAAAATCAACATACAAATTTAACTAAACTTGGAAATTATTGAATAATTGTGCTCACCTCCATTATGGGTTCCAATCTGCTCTTCAGTGAGTTGAATTCATTCTTTGCTTTATTCATGCTTTCTAAACACCTATTATAATAAAATTGTGTAAATTTTCAACAACTTTCATCAAATCTTCATAATATTTTGATACAACGAATTACATTACATAATATACAAAGCATACTTTTCCATATTCCTCTCCTTATAATAATCTCGTACTTTTTTTAATGCACCACGTAGAGAAATACAGCCTACTGCACCAACACTGCATAATTTGAACCACAAAATCTAAGCCATAATAAATTAGAATAACAAGAATATTAATCACTAGTAATTTCTTTATTTATAAAATTATAATCACTTATTTGTTAATTCTATATATATATATTTACGATAGATCAAATACAATATCAACTCTATCAAATTGAATTTTATATTTTTATTTTTTTAAATGAGAGTGAGTAAGACTAATTAATCACCTGGAACTATCAAGTGTAGTATTAATAAACCTCATAGTTCTTGCAATTTCCGGGTCAATATGAAAATCAAAAATTCATATTGTCATTTAGCTCTTGTCTGCAAAAATTCAATGCAGAAGAATAAATTATTAGTAAGAAATAATATTTAGTAATGAAAGAAGAGATAATTATGTAACAAAATTAATGAGAGAAACATTACACAAATTCAGCCAAATTATCGAGTCGTCTCGTAACATCTCTTAGTGCAACATTCAGATTATGAGCTTCATATTTTGGATTGATTTCCGTTATCAGAATATACTGTTTTCCATTGCATACAAACATATATAACACAAGATTATAAAGCTTAATTAGAGAGAAAAATCTTAATTAGAGAAAGAAAAAATTAGAGTTATTAATTAATACCTCATCCATCAAGGTGCTAGTGTAATCAACATATTCAAATTGATATTGAGCAACTTTGGTACCCGTTTTCTGCAAACATATATTAGCCTTTTTTATTAAATAAATCGCGAATTTGTTTACACATTATTAGTCCAATATTATGACTATATATATATATAAGGAAATACATTTAACCTCATTGATTGGTAGCTTAGGAGTTGACCCATCATCTTGTACGATTCGATTCTCCATCTACAATGTAAAATCGTTACAAACACTATATCAGAAGTAAGTTCACGTAGTCATGTTATTACATAGACCCGACATAAGTTGTCACTTAGTCCCGACCCCTCAATTCTTATCGTGATCGATTATGAAAAATTCAGTCTACTCACCCCTAATAAGGTTTCTAGATTGGACTTCAACTGGCTGTATGACATTCTCGTTCGTTCCAAGCACCTTAAGCAACTGTATACGTACAATAAATCGTATATTCAACAAATTTAATTAATTTCATCAAAATTAATTAATTAATTAAAATACCAAGTAAATAAAATGCAGAATAATACCCTTCTTTGTCCTTCGCATGAGAATTAATTCGAAATTGAACACATTCACTAAGAATACGTTCTGCACCGATGCTGCGTTACAAAAAATGTTAGCTTTTCATAAATAATGAGACCTGAAATTGAATCCCGACTATATCTCACTATCGTTACGACTCTCTTGACGTACAATATAACCTCTAACGTAGAATTTTTCACCAATGGTATATATTCAGAGTATTTATTTAATACTATAATAATTATTAAATTCAAGAATTATGTAGATTAACATTAACAAAAATCGATCATAATGTATAATAAATTAATATTTCTTGTTACCAAACAATTACACTATGAATATGAACGGTAATCTTGATTAATTAACAACCCATTTAATTAAAAATGAGAAAGAGAGATTAATTACGTAGAATTGCTGTCCTTAAACCCATGAAGAATTCGATCAAGATTCGAGAAGTATACATTTTCTTGTTCCCTACATTATGAACAAAACAAGATAATTAGTTAATTAATTAACGAACAATTAAATTAATTAATTAGACTAAAAATGATTAATACGAAAAAGAGAGAAAACTAACAGAATTTGAGCCAAATTATCGAGATGTTCTTGAGTAGATTGAAAGAATTCATTTAATTTGTTAGCAACGAATCCTGGGTTTGTATGATTTTGCAGTAAAAGTAGATTATTAAACTCATGATTCAGAATCCCCTGTTTTTAGAACAAGAAAAAACAGAGATTATGAAAGTTAATTAGAGGAGAAAGTGAGATTAATTAATTTAATTAGAGAGAGAAAGGGTTTGTTTTAAGAAAGTTAGAGTAATTAGTACCTGATTAATCAAATTGAGTGTGTAATTAACGAAGCTATCTTGTAACGCAGCCATTCGAGTACCCATTTTCAAGATTTTCTCTCTCTAAATTTTTTATTTCTGTGAATTTAAAATGAATAACTTTGGTACCAAGTAAGTATTTATAATATAGCATTGATCTGATTTGATATGAACAAGGAAGAGTTGATTGAGATACTTAATGCTTGTACTTAGGGGGGCATGTGTTTGATTAGTTTGTGTTTATACTATGTATGTGTTTGTGGGAAATGCATTGATTATGAGAAAAAATTATTTATGGTTTGGTTGTTAAAATTGGGGCTTATGCACACTCATGTGATAACGGTGGGTTCAGGATTTAATTGTCGTGGATTCGGCTTTTAATTTAACAATTGAAATTATGATTTGTAATGTGTTTTGTATTAGTCCAATTTAATTACATTGATTTGCCCAATAGAGTTATAGAACGGTTACAATAATGCGATTGGCATATGTAATTTAAAAGATTTTTTTTTTTAAGATTAGATTATTGTCTTACAACAGTTTTATACATATTTGAGGTTTTTATTTGTTGATTAAAGGTTCTCGTGGATTTGAGGGGAAAAAAAAATTAGCTTTGTGACATTCAAAGTTACTACCATGTCCTATTCAAAGTGACAAAGTCCAAAATCTAACATTTAGCATTTTGGCAAGTCATTTAGTATCAATAGACAATAAATGTTGAAACAAATGACATCTTGTTTAGAACTGTAAACATTTTCAATTACACCTTATAGCCATTTTTTTGGATTTGATTGAACCCATCTAATCTACATTAAATCATTCCTTAATTGCCCTTGTTATTGTGTTTTAGTATCTACAAAATGCGAGCTTTCAAAAATTGTCAAAATCTCATTAAAAAGAATGAAATATAAGAACACGGTAATTAGGAATTCTATCATTTGAATTTTATTAGGGGTATAGTCGTGTTGTGATGCTTTAAGACAATTAAATCATTTTAAAGAAATGCAGATGTGAAGAATAACCCAATATTGTTATTACACTGAGTAACAAGTGAAATAAACACACCCCATTTCTTTAGAATTTTTAAGATCATACGATTAATTTATCAATTATTCTAGAACGAAAGGAGTCTCAACGCATCTTGATCAAATTCTATCCACAGTCACTAAACTTGGTCAGCTTATCTTTTTTGTCTGGTTGCGCGCCAAATATAACTGAAATAACAGGCAAACCACTATTTTCATTACTCGTTTACAGAGCTCTTTAAAAAATGGCTGTTTCTTCATCCCACCATTATTACTCCCCATTTCCTTTCAATTCAATTACCCATAAATTATATAAAAACAATTTCAGTCTTCATTCAATCAAAAACCCAGTTGCTTCTCTTTCTCTCTCCTCCTCAAAACCCCTCAAAAACCCCCAATTTTCAAACCCTAGAATCCCCTTTTCCCTACTTGTAAATAATCTTTGTCAATCCCAAAACCTTAATAAAGCATTATGTGTAATACAAGAACAATTAACAAATCCCAATTTTAATCCAATTCAAGTAGCTGAGGTTGTTGGGTTATTGATTCATTCATGTGGGCAACAAAGAAACCTCGAAATCGGGCGAAAAGTTCATGGAATTGTTTCATCTTATCTTAGTGATGATCTTGTTCTTTACAATCGGCTTATTACTATGTATTCTGTTTGTGGGTTTCCCTTGAATTGTCGTTTGGTTTTTGATGAATTAAAGGTGAAGAACTTGTTTTTGTGGAATGCAGTGATTAGTGCTTATACAAAGAATGAACTTTTTTGATGATTCTATTTTAATGTTCTGTGAATTGGTTTCAAGCACTGATTTGAAACCTGATAATTTTACTTTTCCTTGTGTTATTAAATCTTGTGCTTTGGGTTTTAGGATTGGTCTTGGAGAGGCGATTCATGGGTTGGCGGCGAAATCGGGGTTGGATTCCGATGTGTTTGTGGGCAATGCATTGATTATGATGTATGGTAAGTTTGGGTTAGTTGGAGATGCAGTTAAGGTGTTCGATAATATGTCCCAAAGAAATTTGGTTTCGTGGAATTCGTTGATTCGTGTTTATTCAGAAATTGGGTTATATAAGGAGAGTATTGTTGTCTTTGTGAGAATGCTTCAAGATGAGTGCGGTTTAGTACCTGATGTTGCTACGTTGGTGACAGTATTGCCGAGTTGTGCAAGGGAAGGGGATATTGAAATGGGAAAGATGCTTCATGGTTTGGCTATAAAACTGAGTCTCATTCATGAGGTTACTGTGAATAATGCCTTTGTTGACATGTATGCCAAGTGTGAGCTCTCAAATGCCGCACAAACGCTTTTTGAGGAGAACAAACATAAGAACACGGTTTCATGGAATTCAATCATCTGGAATTTTTCTAGAAATGATGATGCTTCAAAGGCACTTGATCTCCTTAGGGAACTTCATATGGAAGGAGATGAAGTTAGAGTCAACGAAGTCACTATTTTGAATGTGTTGCCAGCATTGTCCCAAAAGTCGCAGATAATGAGCTTAAAGGAACTTCATGGCTACTCATTAAGACGCGAATTTTTTGGAGATGAGTTGGTGGCTAATGCGTTCATTGTGGCCTATGCAAAATGTGAGTCTTTAAGTTCTGCTGAGTTTGTCTTTCATGAAATAGAGACCAAGATGTTGAACTCTTGGAATGCAGTTATTGATGGTAATGCACAATATGGAGATCCGAGAAAGGCTCTAGACTTTTACCTTGAAATGAGATCTTCAGGCTTACATCCTGATCGGTTTAGCTTAACAAGCCTCCTTTTAGCCTGTTCCAAACTTCGTCTTTTGCCATCTGGCAAAGAAATCCATGGCTTTGTGCTTCGAAATGGAATAGATACTGATCCGTTTATAAGTGTATCACTGCTTTCTTTTTACTTCCGGTGTAATAAACCACAATTTTCTAGGGCTTTATTTGATGGAATGATAAATAAAATTCCCGTTTCCTGGAATGCAATGATTTCTGGATATGAACAGTCTGGATGCCCAGAGCAAGCTCTTGACACATTTCATCACATGCTTAAACAAGGAATTAGGCCCAATGCAATTGCAGTAACAAGTCTTCTTGGGGCATGCTCACAGCTCTCTTGCTTGAGGCTGGCAAAGGAAATACACTGTTTTACCTTGAAGGGCAATCTGACAGAAGATGTGTTTGTTAACTGTTCCATCATAGATATGTATGCTAAATGTGGATGCATAGAATTCTCTCAGAGGTTCTTTGATAGCATGACTAAGAAAATTTCAGCATCGTGGACAGCCATGATTTCAGGATATGCAGTTCATGGACATGGAAAGGAGGCATTGCTGCTATTTGAACAGATGCGAATACAGGGATTCATGCCTGATCATTTTACGTTTGTCAGTATCCTTATGGCATGCAGCCATGCTGGGCTTATTGAAGAAGGTCTGGAATATTTCTATGAAATGCATAGTTTAGATGGGTTAATTCCCAGATTAGAGCATTACACTTGTGTGGTGGACATGCTAGCACGTGCTGGCAAACTGTATGATGCAATGGAGCTTATGAAAAATATGCCCATGGAAGCTGATGCTAAAATTTGGACTTCTTTGATTAGTTCTTGTAGAATTCATGGCAATATGGTTTTAGGAAGAATAGCAGCTGAGAAACTGCTACAACTTGATCCAAATAGGGTAGAGAACTATGTTTTAGTATCAAATTTACTAGCACAATCAGGCAAGTGGGATGATGTGAGAAGTGTGAGAGCGAAAATGAAAGAGAAAAGACTTCAGAAAGATGCTGGCTGTAGTTGGGTAGAAATTGGAGGGAAGATTTATAATTTCGTCGTTGGTCATCACATGCTTTCTAAATCAGAAGGGATTCAAAAATTTTGGACTGAATTAGAGGTGAAGATCAGAAAAATTGGTTACATTCCTGATACTAGTTCAGTGCTTCATGATGTGGGACAAGAAGAGAAATTACAAATTCTAAGGGGACATAGTGAGAAGCTTGCAGTCTCCTTTGGCTTGTTAAAAACTGCAGATGGTATGACAGTGAGAATTTGCAAGAATCTGCGTATATGTTGCGATTGCCATAATGCGATTAAACTGGTATCCAAGGTTGTTAACAGGGAGATAGTTGTGAGAGATAACAAGCGGTTTCACCATTTTAAGGATGGGTGTTGTTCATGTGGAGATTATTGGTAAAATACTCGTATGCAAACCTTTCACAATTGAAGCCAAAGACATATCTTTCCCTTGTGAGCAGGGTTGTATTGAACTAAGACTCAGCTCAATCTCAGGTTCTTCAGTGACTAGTTTGTGTTTGGCTACATAAAGAGTCATTAGAAAAAAGTAAGCTTTTTTTGTGATCTTAACGTGAAAGAGAAACGAACCTAACTCAAAAATTGCTAAATCTTAAATGAACTTGGCTTTTGGACAGATTTATTAGCTCAAATAAAAGCTAAGTTCAGGTGACTAAATAAAATGAGCTTGACATGAACAAAATAATATGATTGGCTCTCAGCTAGGCTCATATAGACCCATACTTGTGAGAAAGTTTGTTCACCTCCACTAATGCTCTTTAGCCTGAAATTTAAGCTTTCAACCATGTGTAAATTTTACTCATCAAGTAGGTGCTCAAAAATTTATTTTTACAGCGTGACAATTATCTTATCTCATTACCCTTTTTACATCATTGTCTTGTTTCTTTGCAGTTCCCTTATTCCATGTGACAAGTGAGGGTAGCAAGCTACATCTTTGATGGAGATCTTTAGACACCTTTACAAAAAGCAAAGCAAACACAGACAACAAACAGCTCTGGTAATTATTTTTATCATATGGAGATATTAAATAGACTGATGTTCTTACATAAGTTTTGCTAAGAAGAGGGAGTACTGAAATTTTGAAAGAGTCTCATTTATAAATAATTTTGTCATGTTTTAGATTAGTTAGTGACTTTTAATGGGTAATCACTAATCAGTCAATGAGGTTTGATATGTAAGAATGCTAAAAAAACAGTTAATAAAATTGGCCTGATCTAATTAGCCAGTTTAAAGCTCTACTACTACCCCAATATTCCCAAGCACTACAGATCTTGGAAGAAGATAAAAAGGAAGAAAATTGGAGATTTAAATAATCATACGGCGGCATAATATCCATTGCAGACCTCAGCCACTTTGCCATTTTCTTTGCTTTCCTGCTCTGCTTTAGCTTAAACTGGTAACTTCCCACCTCAGTGCCTCACCCCTCTTATTTGAAGTCTATGTTTGAATGTTTGAATATCATGCTGACTTTTAAAGATATTACTCATTGCTGTTACTAAATGCTGAATCTGGTCTTCTGCAGATTGTGATGCTCTCAAATATTATGATTAAATGGGATACCATTAATTGTAAACCTGGTGTATATAGTGTAAGTACTCTTACTATATTAATGTTTTTCAGATGCTGTGAAGTTCTGGCTATTTTCCCAATTTGGAATGCAAGTACGCACTGCTTGAACTTTTTGAGGACAAAATAGAAGGGCTTCATCTCTCTTTTGTGGTCAGACATTTGTATGTTTAGCTCCACACTCAATAAGCTCTCCATATCAAGTAGCATAATCCATTTATATGTTACCCCAAGCCGTAGATGGCAAAATCATCAAATTCTTTTATTTGCATCATTGTTTGATCATGCTTCTGTCCAGCAAGATCTTTCATTGCAAAATCTTATTTTGTTATTAGTGTTGATGCATTTATCAAAATATGCAGTATTTATATCTCCATCTATTAACCAGTTTGCCTTTCTCTTCTGCCTCAAAAAGGCCAATGTAAGCTTCCTAAGTTTCAACAACCTCAGCCCTAGCATGAACTTCGTCCTTTTATAATATCATGTCTGTGAGATCTGATGATATAACTTCAGAGTTTGCAGAAGCTTATTTGCAGCCTTATAATGTTCTTTTTTCTACATTATTACTACAGAGAACTGGTATAATTGACAAGAATGGTACCGTACTCTTATCATTTCTATATGAAATTAAAGTGGTATGTTAAACTGTTATAATGCGCTGAAGTGCATCTAAACATAATTAATGGCCTTTCAATATTTCACCTAAATTATTCTGCTTATCTCAATTTATCAGCATTGCTTATATGTATTGGTGGCTGACTGGCTGTACCAGAAAATTATGTACCAGGCATGGTTGCAGAACAGCTAATCGAGAAGGTACATAGTGTAAGAGGTATGTCTTGTTTCCTTTGTCTGGCTAGTTTATCTGCATCTAATATACATTATTGGCTTTTTTAATGAAAAAAGTTTTATGAATGGTGCATAAATTGGATACAGGTAACTTTCCAGAAGATTGAAATTAAGTTTTTTTTATCTATCTGTTGTACCTTTTATAGTGTTTTCTTTTTTGACAAGTTAGCAAATGCCCTCATGGACAGTCTCTTACTGCAATTTTTTACATTGATGCAAGAGGTTGATGAACCTTTTGTAATATATTGCCTAATAATAGGTTGTGATGAACCTTTTTTTAAATATATTGCCTAATCCTGCTATGCTTTTTCTCATAAGTCGTGACATTCAACATTAATTGCTTTAACAAACAAGACACATTGGCATATCGAAGAGATTAGCATTGTTAATGCTGTTCTTGAAATGTTAGATATACAGTTCGGAATTCAAATGTGATCCTTGCACTTTACCGCTAAATCATGGGCATTATAGTGAAAATCAGTGGTGGCATTATGTTTCTTGATTACTTGTGTATAGTAATTGAACTGCCAACTCAATATAATTGCTACTACTGTACACCTTTGATGCTGTTCGCTTTTGGCTAAGGTTGTGAATGACTAACTAATGTTCTGCATTAACTTCTTCATGCTTATATTTCTCTATTCCTGATGTTGCTTTAGGGTGAGCTTTGAACTCTACATATATACTCCTAAACTGAATACTGCAATGAATTTCTGGGATTTTTCCCTCTGAGCTATTCTGATTAGTAAAATTGTTTCACAGCAGAATTTACAGAAAAAATTTCTTCTGTGTAAAATGAAACTGTTGATACTTGACCATTGCAGACTTGCAGTTGTGTTTGATCATAGGGAAGTTCAATTTGGGGCTGCTGTATGAAAAGATTGAGTTCAACAAGTAGATCATATCAAGGGAAAACTTTGCTGAGCTCAAGTGCATAGGGGTTACTCTCATTGGGGTGGACAACTCTAAAAACGCTACTTCAGAAGTTAACATCTGTTGAGGGAATCCAGGCAAGGATGGATGGGATCATCTTTGTGACTGGGTGAAGCATCTAACTGCAATCCTACCATATGTATACTGAAGGACTGTTTAGGCTCTCGTTGATGATAAATACCTTCATAATATTGCTCGATACAGAATGAGCTCTAGGATCAGCCATCTCTCCTTTAAACAAAAAGTCTTACATTAAACTCATTTATATGAAAAATGAAAGTGTAAATCATCAAAGCATTCGAAAATTACTCCGGTGATAGAAAATTTTAGTGGAACTTGCATGTACTCGTTTTATAGCAAGAGGCTATATGCCTATATGGCTATATGTATGTGTAATCAGATATTTTACCACTCTTGGGGTTGTGTTGCGTTCTTTTAGGGAAAACTCTTGGCGTATAGCCCTGTGTATTAAGAATGCAAATAGGATGTCATTTTTGTAAATAATGGGACTTGAAGGTGAAAAATATAATGACAAAAAGTACCACTATATGTATAATAGTACACAAAAAAAAATACTATTAAAATAATTTATACTTTAATGGTACATATACATGTATATTAGTATATAAAAAATATACCACTATACTAAAACAAAAGAGAAAAATGTACCACAAAAACCCCAGATTGCTATGTACATGTCAAAATACATAGGCCCTATGCGTCTAGATGCACTCTTTCTTTTAGTGCGACCGGCATGTGAATTGTACTGCTATGTTCATTATTCATACTGTAGTCTGTCTTTAATCAGTGAATACAACAATGTTATGAGAAAGCACCCTAAGCCCTAAGACCATATAAGGCAACTTCTTAATAGGTAACTAGTGAGTAAGCTCGGGCATTGCCCCGAGTTTCTACTATTGTAGACTTGCAATTGATATTTTTTTTAAAAGCTTTTCAAAACAACAATTGTTGTTGTCAAACTAAAGTTGAGTTATTCTTGATATTTTTTTATTATTTTTTAATTGAACCTTGTGACACTTAATTATAGTTAATATTGGCTTAGATGATTTAATAGTTATATGTGTTATAAGAGGTTGAGGTTCAAACCCCTCTATCCTTATATTTTTATATGGTAATGTTAGTTGCTTGAGCGATGTGACATTATTTAAGTGATGATTTGGCATCATGATATATTGGAAAGATGACATAACGCAACAAAATAGCCATTTTAACCTTCTTAGGAACACCTTTTAATATATTAGTATAGATATGGTGAACAAGACAATATTTTAGAAGCTGTACATCACAGCATATCTCCATTAAATAATCCACAACACTAAAGAGGTCATAAACATTCAACTGTAGTCTACTAATTCCATGGAAGGTCGCCCAACAACATTACATCATCGTTATAAACGAGCAAAGGTAAATCACGCAATATTTTGGTAAATTTGCTGAAAAATTTTGATGGTAATTTGGTAGATTTTGTTAACGGAGCTTCCAAAGAGAGATGCTAAATATTCAAGGAGAAATTTATTTATTTTTTCTCAACCAAATGTTGTCCTCCATTTAAGCATTACTATTGCACATAAAATAACAAATGTGGTACATCAAAAATCAAAATGTAAATAATTTATAACTTTGCCATTATTTACAAGTTTGTCATTGACACATACAAATACGTATATATCCCCTCTCTCATCTTCTTTAGATCACCTAATCCCAGGGGCAGACCCATAAAGGAACAAGGGGGGACCATTGTCCCCCCACTTTCGGGAAAAAAAAAAACAGAGGAAAAAAAAATAAAATTGGAAAAATAGTTATATAAAATTGAGTGTAAAAATAAACAAGAAGTTTGTCTTAGCTAAGTTGGTCGTGGGCTAAAATTAATATGTCAAGGGGCCCAATTTCAGGTTTGCCTATCATGTCCACGTGTCACCATATTATTGGGTTTTGATAAAATAAAACTTTTTTTATGGAGGTGGTAAAAGCAATTAAGTTGTTTTTTAGAGGTGGTAAAAATAAAAAATTTCTTTATTTTAATCAAACCACTCGACTACTCCCTTATTCCTATTTCCCAATCACGAGGCACGAACCACCACCCACGCGACCACGAGTCACGGACTGCAGCGAGCATCTTCGGCAAATGTTTGCTAAGAAATTAACATCACAAAATAATATGGCATTCGAATCCCCCTTGTAACATCACTCCTTTTTTTGGGGTGTTTTATTTCAACCATACCACTCGACTACTCCCTTATTCCTATTTTCCAACCAAACCCAAATTACTTGTATTGTGTACCCGTTTTTTTTAAAATAGGTTGATGTTAGTTGAATTATCGAAATTGTCCCCCATTATCAAATTTCTAGGTCCGCCACTGCCTAATCCAAACAGAAGGCTAATCGACTAAAAAATAATCCACCAAGTACTGTTAAATAAAAGGAAAAATGCAAAGAATATAAGAAAATGCTTGACCATAAAATACTGAACATCCCATGAGAGACTCAGCCTACTTTCTCTGACCCTTGCTCTTCTTTCGGGTAACAGGAATCCACCCATCCATCTCCATATCTTGGGAAGCAACTTCATTGTTTGAGGAGCTGGCTTGTGAATCTATCATCATACTCGGACCGTCATCATTCACCGTATCATTGTTGTTAACATCATCATCATCATCGTTATCATCATCATCATTATTGATTACCTGCAATCATGACGAGATACAAGATTCAGCACTTTGAAAATACACTAGGAATCTAAGAACACGTTCTCCTCACTATATATCCTTTAAGTGTTGCTTCATCTTATCATTTGCTTTACATGTACATTTCTATAATGTTCTTTTTAAATTGCAGGTAAAAAACTCATGTGTGATTACGGACCTGTTCACATTTACTTAATTTCAGTTCAGTTCACTTCAGCTCTGCTCCAATTATTTCAGTTCAGTTCAGCTCTTAATTTTCCTCTCATAAAATATTTATTTCAGCTCAGTTCAATTTAGTTCCAATCAGTTCAATTCTGTTTAGTTCAGTTCAATTCAGTTCCAATCAGTTCAGCTCAGCTCAACTCAACTCAGTAAATGTGAACAGAGCCAAAAGGCTTACCTCGATCAATCAAGACAAAACCCAACAAAAAAACCTCAAGTAGCAAAAAAAAAAACATGCACAATCTCACCCACAATATATGATACACTATACATGGAGGAAAATTACCGGTACCACATGGCGAATTGGCCTCGCATCCCTGAGCCTTTGAATTGATTGATAGTCACCCTCTAAGCATTCTTCATACATAACCATCAGCTTGTTTGCCACCTATAATGTGTCAACAGAATAATTCTAGATCAGAATAAAGCAATAAACTTATAACTTCAATTTCGATATAATCAAATTGATACAAGAAATAACCTCCTCACATTCCCCTTCATAGTCCATCAAACTCATGGAATTCATGCCATCACAAAGCAAATCTTCTAAATCGAAAATGCATAGAGGTTCTGAGAAAGAGGAGCATTTACATTAGAACTAAAGCCAAAATTAAGAACCCAAAGAGCTTTTATATCCTCTAAAAGCTTTTATTGACTATATATAAACTCACATATTTGTACAACTATAACTGAAAATAACCTCAAAATCATCTTTGCTATGATTTTCAGTATGATGGCTAAAGCACATAAATGTGAAACATGGCATCATCATCGAAGATTATTACAGAGATATTGCATGAGATGAAATAGCATCTTTACCATTGTTCTTAGGTTGGCAGAAGAAACTGAGAACAGAGTACTCAATAGAGACCGCTTTTTCACGCGAATATAGGCCTCCCCAACCTCCATTCACAGCATCTTGGAGAGCAACCCAACCTGAGAATACAAGTGAAACCCCTTGTTGAAATTGCTTTAGGGCATCTGCTGTTAGCTTTGACCTCTTCGAAGTTTCCATTGTAATTGCACAAGCTATAACAACTATAATTGATTCAGGAATTCAGTTTTGATAAGGATCATTTGTCAGTGGCTAATTCATACATAGATAACACAATTATAAAAAGAACAATATCAATGCAACTAGTATGAATCTATTTCTCCTTCATGTTTTGAGGGTAAGTTTGATTGTATTACTAACAGTGGCAAACTCTTTTCACCTGTACACAAGAGTGTCCAATACAGAAGATAACAAAGGCCGAAGTATACGGATATAAGGATATTAACAAACATAATACTACCTCTGTTAATTTTTATGTGCAACTTTGGAGTATTATTTGTCACATATAAAATATTCTAAAGTTGCGCATAAAAATTAACGGAGGTAATACAACACCGATTATCTACCAAGTACAAATACGAAGTATGTATAGACAATTTAGACATAAAACACCACCAAATGATATTAGCAGACCAGGGAACGTAACAATGTGTTACATCCTACATTAGCAACGAATAATAAACGAAACATATGGCCCTGTTTGGTTTGATGTAAAAGGTTTCATGGAAAATGATTTTTCCATTTTTTTCCCAATTTCCTTTGTTTGGTTTGTTAAGGAGTGGAAAACAATTTTGATAGAAAATATTTTCCTTCCAAAAATAGGGAAGCCACATTTTCCTCTCTCCTCCTTACCTCTTTTTTTTACTTCCCTCATTCATCCTTACATTTCCACTCTTATTTTTTATTTTTTCTTGGACTTTTCTTGTATGCAACCAAACAAAGGAAAACTAATTTGCAATTGTGTTTTTCCTTGAAAATATGTTTTCCGTGAAAACTAATTTTCCATTGAATATATTACATTAAACCAAACGGGGCCATAATCAATAAATCTCAAATTGATTAATCAAGTGCTTCTGCATCTTATGCAATAAATAACTAATCAAGAACAATATGAAATTTGATGCATTCAAAAATCACAGATTTGATTATTAAACACAACCAACGTAAACGAAACATATAATCAATAAAAAACGCAATATATTAAAAAAAAATAACGACATTACACAAAGTAAAAGATATAAAAATGGAATCATATCAAATTAAGTAATTCAGCAAATTGAAAAGAAAAAAAAAGGACAAAATTGAGCAATTGGAAGAAAAACGAAATTCCACGCAAAAAAAAAAAAAAAAAAAAAAAAAAAAAAAAATAATTGATTAAAACAAAATAAACTCAACACAAAATAATTAAACCCTAAAATAACAGTAACGTAATTAAGAAAATGAGACTAAGCTAACCGAATTAGTGATGTTTTTCTTGTTGAAGTTGTAATTTGATGAAGTGACAAAATAGTTCAAGCCACAATCCCACTTGCAATCTACCCTAACTCGACTAGGTTTAGCTCTTCTTATTATAACCTACAAATTGCAAGGCTGTGGAATTGAGTGTGCATGACTAAGAAAAACTAAATACCTTTTTTACCCTTTTTTTTTTGCCTAGGTTTTAGGACGTGGGTTTATGAGTATGGAGTAGAGAATCTCAAGTTGCCTCGGCCACTAGCGGGCTTATAAAGTTACAACTTACAAGCTACATAGTACAATACAATACAGGATTATTAGGTAAAATCTCGTGTCGTATAAAATAATTTTCAATAAGTATTTTTTAAATTAATACTATATTAATATTTTAAATAATATACTCCCTTCATGTTTTTTGAAGTGTTACACTTTGACCGACACATAATTTTAGGCAATTTAATTAACTTAGATAAAATAAGAGGTATGTGAGGTAGTTGGGGTATTAAAAAAACTGTAAAAGAAAGATAGTGTGGTTAATAGTCTATTGAAAAATAATGAATGTGAGAGGAAAGATATAATAAAAAAAAAGTAGTTGTGTATTTGGGTGGAGACCATGAGAGGAGAGAGATATAATATTTAAATGTAGTTTTTTGCCAAAAAAAAGGAAGTGTAACACTTAAAAAAACACGGCCGAAAATGGAAAATGTAGCACTTAAAAAAACACAGAGGGAGTATGTTGTATTCATAAAATAGAGCTGTCAAAAGCTTATCCGACCCGAAAATTTTACCCGAACCCGATCATGTCCTGACCTGTTTGAACCTGAGAAATTGAAGATCCGAACTCAATATGACCCAACCTGAAACCAGCCCGAGATCCAAGTTAACCTTAGGATACGTGACCCAAACTCGAACATGACTCGACTTGAGATGACCTGACCCGAACATAATATATACTAAAGAACAACAAAAATGACAAAAAAAAAATCACACTAAGAATAATCAACATGTTACTTTGGCGGAAGCCGATTTGCTTTGATTTTATAAAATCCCTAACATTTCTAAATAAATAATAAAAAAAAAGGAGAGAGATTCGCATTTTATTGTTTACATATTTTTTAAAAAAAAATCAAGAAAATAATGTACGTCAAAAATAAGTTAAGAATATTTGGGAAAGATACATCATCAAATCTTCTCATTATTCTCTATCACATTATATAAAAGTATGTATGTTTGTTTAATCTCACAAAAATCCAACCTTTGCACCCCACCTTCTCCCATAGATCCATTACCTGTTGATGACCGATTTTTGTAAGTTATGTGCCACGTGTCGTCAGTCAT